CCCTACACTGAGGGTGCTAAATATACTAAATATTGGTTATTGGATTGGTATTGGCCAATATGGTTGGTTAATAATAATTGGCTATCGGTATTGGCCAAGAGAATATTTATTGATGCACCCCTAGAAAATTCCATTTGATCTAGTGAAATTTGCATGCATGCTTCCATAGGTGGAATTTGGCCCATTGAAATCTGAAGTTGCTATGCACTGGACACTGAAATCAGATCTACAAAATTACTTTTAGTTAGGGTAAATAAAGATTAAGAATCAATAGTGGACAAGAGCCACCTTGATTTCATTGGAGCTACGCAAGGCTGAAAAGCTCGATAGATGTTGATTCCTTCTGTACTTGAGCTGTTGGGGCTGTAATGATAGAGTACAGTATTTCTATTGCAACTCAAAAGCTGAAATGTTGAACTTTGACCTCTTACAGGTTGGTTTAATCCATCCCTAGTGTTAACCTGATGGTTCAAACAATGCCAGGTTCTGCTATTTCTCTTGTGAGAGCATGTTTACAAACAGAGATCTATGATTGATACTGTCAGTTACTGCTAGCCTTCCTTCTAACTGTTATCATGGCTCTGCATTTTTTTTTATTTTTTTTTTTTTCCTCCAGGGACAAAGCTGGGGGCTATGGAATCCAAGCCCTTGGTGGAATGTTAGTGGAATACGTTCACGGAGACTTTTTAAATGTGGTGGGATTTCCTCTGAATCACTTCTGCAAAAAGTTAGTGGAGTTGTATTATCCACCTCCCAAACATACTTTACATCATATAAAGCATGACTCTGTCCCATCTGTAGAGACTTTTGAGAACATAAGTGATGAGGAGAGTGATTCTTCAAGTCCTATACAGTATAAAGATGCTATCAAAATGGACAGAAGTAAGCTGCATTCCTCAGGAGGTGGTTGCAGCCCTGGAAGCAGTAATATCATCAAACCTAATTGCATGGTGCCTGTGGAAAATTGGAATGGAGTGATGGAAAATCCAGATAAATTCCCATCTAAAATTGTAGAACTTCTGGATGGATTTAGAGCTTCAAAGGTAAACAAGTCTGATATATTCTTTTTAGCATTAAAATATTAATCCATATTACTAATCTTTAATACATATATAGGTTCTAACAATAAAAGCTGTGGAAACTACTAAATGGCATGTGAAACAGGCCTTTCAAAATGAAAAAATTGGCAAATACCCTGGCATATTAGGCCAGCTCCCTGATATGCCTATGTATATGTTGCTGTATCTACACCAGTGCCACAGGCTGCAGTATTTGTATTTACATAGTGCACATTCCAGTAGGAAGCTGTTTAATACAATTAAGTCCTGAGGCCCCTCCTGATGCATCTGATCCAGCAGGCAAAATCCATGTTATGCAAAGAGATGCTAAGGGGCATCTTAGAAAAGTGCCTATAAGGAATGTGGATATACTCTGCCTCTGTTTCTCCGCATTATACTTAGTACTTCCAGGTGTTTATATATAAGCTTTGGGAGTGCTGGGGGGGGGGCTTTAATTACATCGGCTCCAACAGCCGTTCTAAAGCACCCAGAGCATCTCATGTATCTGAGTCCCTGTGGTTCAAAATGGTGAGCTTTAGAGGAATTGCCCCTGCCACCATTTTGAAGCATGGAGATGATGATATGTGAAATACAGGAGGTTGTTGGAGCATGGTAATTGCCACACTCCGGCAGACTCAATCAAGTCGGCTCTGATAGGCTGCTCTGACATGCTGGAATTCCAGTGTCTCAGCTCATGTATACGTACCTTCCATTGTGAGATACTAGGAAAATGCACATTAACCTGTCTTAATGCATATTAGCTGAAGAGCATGCTCCTATACACATGCAGGAAGTCTGTTCTGATGTGCTGCAATTACAGCACGTTGGAGCGGACTTGATTTGAGTCTGCTGCAGCATGGTAATTACCATGCTGCAGCAGATTCGAGCATCACGTGTATTGGTATCCCTGCACTGAAAAATGGCAGAAACACTTCAACTAAAGCTTGTTCAAGCTTTAGTTAAACTGTCCCTATGCCATTTTTCAGTGCAGCGATGTTGATACATGTGACACTCTGGACACTTTAATTAGCACAGCTCTCAGAACGGTGCTAATTAAAGCGTGTGGTTCCTGCCTGCCTTGTGGAGAACATCTATAAGCACAAATGGTTTTTAGGTGATGGCAAGCAGGATGTTGAATTATGTTTCTTTCTTGTTACGATGTTACATATTTCACAGGAAGATTGGCGATGGAAAGTTCTTCTGGGCAAGGAATTTCTTTTGTGTTGAGATTGTTTTGCAGGTATGATGAAAGGAGAGAGATGGGTTGATGATGATATGATTGGGTCATCACAGGCAGAGGAACAAAATTTGTCTAGAGATGTGAAAAGAGCTACGATCGTGACATCTACAGCTGTTGAAATGGTAGAGGGGTTCCTCTCCAAATGCAATGAGACTGGAGTGGGTTGAGCACTTCAAATACCAGGATAGACACAGTAAATAACACACATGTAGAACAGCTAAATATCAGGCCCCATGGATTCCCATGGGTCCAGAATTTTGTTGGCAGGGGGAGTGGTGGCAGTGTTTAGTTGCTGCTTCCCTGCTGCCAAACCCACAGGGAGCCCTGCAGGCCAGATCTTGTTTGTGCATGTTGGGCTAGTGTGCAGGGTCACTTCATAGCCTGATCTGTGTGTGCAAGGCTGGGCCAGGATGCAGGGTTGCTCTGCAGCCTGATAATACCTGCAGATTAGCCATGTGAACTGACTCCATGCTGGATCCAGTCTGTGGCCTAGCCCTGTACCACTTGTCAGGCACCATGGGCCAGATAGGTTGAGCACCACAGAATTGGAGAGTCAGTATAGAGTTGGGCTCATCCCAGCGGCTCTAGCAAATCCAGCTAGGTATGAAGAAGCTAAGGCATCTCTGATGTCCAAAATAAACCATTTTCAGCATCTTATTGTATTAATGCTGGATATGGATATTAAAGAAACAGTACCTTAAGCTTTCTTCTTTCAGATTAAAATGTTACAGAAGATGCTGTGTATTTGCTTTATTTTGTGTATGGCTAACAGAAGGTAATATCCCAAATTTTCAACAAAACTGGAGTTACATCTGAGGTCATCAAGAAAATTGGATCAACAGAGAAGCTATGGGATGAATAAATGAGGGAATATATCTGAGTCTGGCCTTGCAGGGACCATTGCTAATTGCCAAGTGTGGGGAGAGGGGAAAGGTGTCCGCAGCCACTCATGGTTTGATGTCACTGTGGATGTCATGTTTCCCAAGGCTGAGAGAAGATTTGGCAATACGGAGGAAGATGGTTTTGCCTCCACTTTTTTCTATCTGCAAGATGGAGAAAATATTATGAAGATTAAAGCATCAAAGTGTTTTGATAGTATCTCGCATTAACATCTCTTCCAACCCTAGAACTGGTCTAGGTAAGCTTACAGGCAGAAAGAAAGAGGTCTACCAAGAGATTTGAAATATCCTTGCTTCTTGCATATTCCTTGAACTTATCAAAGAGATTTGAAATATCCTTGCTTCTTGCATACTGCTTGAACTTATCCCAGCCACAACATTCCTACCCTATTGGAAAATTAAAAGTACAGTGATATTAACATTACCAGCTGTTCTATAGCAAATTGCATGACTTCTTAATCACTACATTTAAGTCCATTTTCACAATTCAGTCTGAAATCAAAGTGGGATGAAACATGGTGGAATGAGGAAAATCAATGGGGAAAATCAAAACAGTTATGTAGGCATGGTGGTATAGGTTGTACTGGTGAGGGAGTAACTATATCAAAAACTGCATTGAATCAAATAGGTAAGATTTTTTTTTTTTATTTAACTGGTAAAATACATACCATAGAATTTCTGTGGATAGAAATGTTGTGTTTCAATAGAAAAGAAGTACATCTGAGGATTTACTGTTGACTCCTCCCCCTCCCACCCCACCCCACCCCAGGGCAGCAGCAGCAAGTTAGAAATGCTAAGGGAGTTGAGAGACACTGCTAAATTTAAAAAAAAAACAAAACCCCAAAACAACAGTAGTAATGGATGGCTTCAATCCACAACCAGACTGGGTCAATCTCTCCTCATACCGGAATGCGGAGACCACGTTTCTTGACATTATAAAAGACTGCTTTCTGGCGTAATTAGTCCTGGAGACTACAAGAGGAAAGTCTGTTCTTGACCTATTCCTAAGTAGTGCACAGGATTTTATGCAATGGGTAAGTGTTACTGAGCTGCTTTGGAATAGTAACCACAGTGCAATTGGGATTGACGCCTGTGTAGGAGGGGAGATGAGAAGGAAATCGACCACAGTAGCCTTTCCCTTTGAAAAGGGAGACTATACCAAAATGAGGAAGCTAACTGGAGGTTAAAATAAGCCTGTAATCTGGTGAAGAACTCTTAAGCAATTCCCCATGCTGTTTGTGAATACTCTATTGGAGGCATGGAGCATTACATATCACAAATAAAAAGATGGACCAAAAGAATGCTGGCATAATTCAATGGCAGAGTTGCAGAGGCAATAACTGGACAAAAACCTTCCTTCAAAAAATGGAAGTCAAATCCTAATACAGAAAATAAAAAAAGTATAAACTCTGGTAAATCAAAAGTAGAATTGTAATAAGATAAGCTAATAAAGAATTTGAGGAGCAACTTGTCAGAGACACAAAAGATAACAATAAAAATGCCTTTAAGTACATTAGAAGCCAAAGAGCTGGTAGGGAGTCATTTGGGCCTTTTAATAATCAGGGTATAAAAGGAGCACTAAAAGATGGGAGGAATACTGGGGAGAAACTAAATGCATTCTTTGCATTTGTCTTTGCTATAGAAGATATTAGAGAGATTCCCCTTGCAGATTCACTCCTCCTAAGGGTTGAGTCAGTATAGCTGACCCAAGTTGAGGTTTGAGTAGATGTGGTTGTAGAGAAAATTGATAAAATGAATGGGGACGTCTGCACATGCAAGCATGTGCGCCTGCAGCAGCTCAAAAAGAAGTGGTGCAAATTTGAGCCAGGGCTTTTTGCCTTAGTGCATGTGTCCGGACGTGCACTTTGATATGGGGCAAATTGTGCCACTTGGGGCAAAATAACCCCCTGGCTGCAGATCCAGCCAAGCAGGAAGTTAGAGCCTGGGGCCAGCACCTGTGCTACCAGTAGTATAAAAACCTGCCCTGTCCTGGCTCCATCGGTACGAAAAGCTGCCTGGCCAAGTAGCTCAGGCCTACTCACTCTCAGGAGCTTTTAGGGCCCAGCCAATTGGTACCTGGGGACAGTACCCCTTGTGCCAGCTGGACTGATGAAGCAGCCCTGAGAGTTTCCTGAATCCTTTACCCACTGCAGCAGTCTGGCAGTGGGGGCTGCTGCGTACCTGCCAGACCTGGATGAGGCATCTGCCCCTCTGGGCCAGCTGCCAGTGGGCTGTGGCTACAAAGTTAGCTTTTGTGCAGCACTACTGCCATGGGTGCCCCCTGCCCAGCCATCTGGGCAGCTGTTGCCCAGAAGATGTTCCCAGTGTGGTGGCCTGCTTTGAACTTCCAAAGCACATCCTCCTGGCCACTTTCAGCTGGGTCCAAGGTGCCAGCTCTGCGCAGGCTCCTCTTCCTGGGTCCTGTCACTTGCCTTCCTCGCAGGAATTCTGATGTTCCCTATTTGAAAACTGAAAAATCCCTGATTAAAAAAAAAATCCCAAAGTCACTCTGTAAAATACCCTGAAAATCCATGTTCCTCCGCAATTAAAACAAAAGACCACTATATATATAGAGAGAGAGAGAAATATAGGAGAGATCAGTTGGGCAATGTTTTATTGATATATCTACAGTGGTAAAGCAGTTTGGAAGACTACCAGTGTTTCTGTCATCATAATAAAATTGATTCTAAATACCTATATGTTTTGCTGCCCCCCACAGGGGCTATCTCTCCGAGGCCCCCTGATGGCTGCCACTGGCCCTAGCTTTCCAGTACTTAAAAAACATAAAAGCCTTGCACTCGCCTCACAGTAGCAGGGACTGTGAGGGCTCTGGGGCCTTGTGGCAGAGCCCCAACGATGGGGGTGCCACCTGGCACCCACACTGTCATTGCCCCGTCCCGTGGGCCCTGCCATGGGTCCGCGAAGTGTTGGGCAGCTGGACGCACTGCCACTCGCATCCGGGGGGGGGGGAGCTCTGCCACATGGCCCCAGTGACCCCGATGGCAGCTGCTACTGGTGAGTGTGGGCTTTTTTTTTTTTTTAAATGGCTGGGATGCTGGGGCCAGGTGGGACAGCAATTGGGGAGCAGGTGGGGGATGGGGCCAGGTGGAGCAATGACTGGGGAGCTGGGGGAGTGGGTGGGGAGATGAGTCTCGGTGGATCGGTGATCCAGGGGGCTGGGGGAGTGGGCCGGGATAGCAGGGGTCCCTCCATGATGCCCTCCTTCCTTCTCCAGTCTCACCTCCCCCCTCAACCCCAGCTTCACTGGCAGAAGCCCCGGTCTAGCTCCCTGTGGCTGGCATGCTGCCTGTCGTGCACGGGCAGGCAGTGTGCTTCAGCACCAGGACAAGGGCCAACCAGAGAGTCAGCCAGAGTGTCTACTAGAGCACCTCTGGAGGACCAACCTTCCGGTTGCCTCATGGCACAGTCTGGGACTGTGCCCTGCCCCACTTCTTTCCCCCATGGTTTTTTTGATCCCTGGATATCCAGGGGTTTATTTGCAGTGCGGGGAACATTTTTTCATTCCCGCATGTGCTTCTTGCAGCGTCTCAAAGGGCTTTGAGACACTGCAAGATGCACATGTGTGCTCATGTGGATGCGCCCAATAGTAGGAAATTACCAAGACCTGGTGGCATTCACCCTAAGGTCCTCAGGAGTTCACACAGGAGCTTGGCAGTTTCCAAACTATAGCAGGGAATCTATCACTAAACACCAGCCTTGGTACCAGAGGACTGGAGGATTGCCATTGTGACTCCAATATGCAAAAAGGGCTCTAAGGGGACCCCAGGGAACTTCGGGTTTGTAAGTCTAAATTTTGTTCCTGGAAATTTGGTAGAAACAATAAGAAAAAAAAAAAAAAGAATTGTTTGGCACATAGATAAAAATGACTTGTTAGAGGAATCAGTATGACTCTTGTCAAAGGGAAATCATACCTCACTAACCTTCTGGAGTTCTTTGAGGGTGTCAATAAGCAGGTGGACTTCCAAAAAGCCTTTGACAAAGGCTCCTCATCAAAGCCTCTTAATGAAGTTAAGTAGTCATGGGATTACAGGGAAAATCCACTCATGGATTAGGAATTGGTTTAAGGATAGAAAGCAAAGACTGAGTATAAATGGTCAATTTTCAGGATGGAATGAAGTACTAGGGTTCTCCAGGGGTCAGTGTTGGGACTGGTGCTGTTTAACATATAAAGGGCCTGGAAAAAGGGATGAATAGTGATGTGGCCAAATCTGCAGATGACATGCATTCAAAGAGACTAAGGTGGACTGTGAGGAACTACCAAAGGATCTTGCACTATTGAGTGAATGACCAACTAAATGACAGATAAAATTTAATGTAGAAAAGGGATGCACATGGGCAAAAATAACCAAACATGTTTGGAGCATATTGGCGAGATTTATTTGAAGACTCTGCCTCATTTAAACTTCATTCTTTCCACTTGATTTTCTTATATAAAATGTTAGTTATTTCTTTTCCTCTCTCTTGATTATATTGACCTTTTTCTATCATTTTAATTATCCCAGTGCCATTCAACAAAGCTCCTGTTTTTTTTCATGTACACAGGCTTTGTTTGTGGCCTCTAAGCTCAAAGTGTTCGATCTTTTGAAGAATAAAGGTGTACTGCAGTCTGTGGATGTCGCAAATACAATAAATGCCTCTGTGTGTGGAACAGAAAGACTGCTTGATGCGTGTGCTGCTCTTGGATTGCTAGAGAAAACCATTCAAGGTAACTTAAATAAAACCAATTCATGTGTGGGGGACAGAGAAATGGAAGAAGGATTAGTTCATAATTTAATTATCTAAAGTTCCAAGTTATGTGTGATTCTGGAAAAATGATACTTAATGTTTGCCATTTATGGGTAAATCGCTTGATTGTTTACTGCTTATTGCTGGGTAAATTGGGCATAACCCTAAAAAAACATACAACAGTGCTGTATTGTCACAAAAGGGAACCTGAATGGCCTAGGTGGCACTGCGCATCTGTTCTTTCCCTTCTGCTTTTGTTAGTTAATTCACTTTTTCCATTAGTTCCTATTTGCAGGGTCTTTTGCTTAGTTCTAGTTTTAGTTAGCACTTTAATTCTCACTTTTTATCAAGGTTAACAACCTCTTAGCTTCTCTTCCATCATCTACTCCGACCATCTCTGTTTTGTCTGTAAATAGTTGTCCACTGCGTGAGTGTTAATACCTATTCCTTGGGGTTGCATAAGGATTAATTACTAAAATTTGTAAAATGGGGGGCTAAATTCTGCTGAATGTGACCTTAGTAAAAAAATATATTATTTAAATAGGATGGATACAGGTGAGGGAAGAATTTCAGACACTGCCATCTTACACTGAGCAACTAAGTACAGCAGTTTTAAATTGCTAGCGTTTAAGAAACAAACAGGCAGTGTTTAAAAGATCTGCTTTTAGTTTTGCACTGCATAATGTTAAGTTTTTGCATACACATTGCCTTTGTGGTAGACCTGGAAAAGGTGCCCCACAAAAGAAACATTTGAGAACCTTTTTAGCTGTTTCGTTTTTATAGGACAAACAAAAAAGAAAGCCCTAAGGTAAAATGCTGATCACAAGAAGCTTAACTGTGAATGAATAAATTGCATAATGGAAAGAGGAGGAGGAAGAACCTCCAAAAGCAGGTGCTCTACCTCTAGCTATCTTTACTGTAGAGCTGCACAAAAACAACTTTGTGAGATTTTGGTGTTAATAAACTGAGAGAATTCTGCCCAGCTCTGGCTCCAGCTCCAGCTGCCTTCCACCAGCTGCACCCACACGGGCTTCTCATCGCTCTGCGCAAGCAGAGCGGGTGGAAGGCAGCCGAGAGCTGGAGCTGGAGCTCCATGTGCTGGGTGGAAGCCACGAGCTTCCCCCACCCCCCACTGCCTGGAGCAGCGCAGCAGCAGTAGTAGTGGGACTGGGACTAGCCTCTGGAGGCAAGGAGAAGCTGGACAGGCCTGGCAGGGCTGTTCCGTTCCCTTCACCACCAGCTGTGGCTCCTGTGGCCCCACATAGTGCTGCTCAGGGCTGGGCCCCCTGGCTTCTGCCCAGTGTATGGAGCTCCAGCTTCAGATCTCAGTTGCCCTCTATCTGCTCTGCCTGCACGATAAGCAGGCTCTGTGGGTGGGTGCAGTGGGTTAAAGGCAGCCAGGGCTGGAGCCAGAACTCCATGCCCTGGGTAGAAGTTGCTGGGCTGAAATTTCCCACCCACACACCCAGCATGGTGTGGCAGGGGCAGCAGCAGCAGTGGAGCAGCTGGAGGCAAGGGGGGCAGAACAACCCACCTGGCCCTGGCTAGCCCGCAGGTTGTGATGCAGCCACAGCTGCCGGGTGCTGCACAGGGCAGGGGATGTAGCAGCGGCTGTGGCAGGCAGCTGCTGGGCTTGGGGCTCACTGGCACCTCCAGCCAGCCCCCTACCTGGCTAGCCTATGCCTGTGCTGCCAGGCCAGGCTATCACAGAGCCTCAGGCACTAGGAAGGGCCCTGTCTAGCAGCTGTGGCCCTATGAACACCTATGACTTAGTAGGGCTAACTGAAACCTGGTGGGATTCTTCCCACGACTGGGCGGTACATATTGAGGGTTATAGGCTGTACAGAAAGGACAGGGTGGGGAAGAAAGGGGGAGGGGTTGCGTTCTATGTCAATGAGCAATAATCTTCGACCCTCATCATGGCGGAATCGAAGGAGGAGAAAGTAGAAGGATTGTGGGTTAACTTACAGGGGGGTCAAGGAGAAAGGGATTCGGTGGTAGGAGTCTGCTACAGACCCCCACACCAAAGGGAGAAACTAGATTCGGGGCTCCTGAGGCAGCTCTCAGAGAGCACCTCCATAAAAACTAAGGAGGTGGTAGTCATGGGGGACCTAAACTACCCAGACATCTGCTGGGAGACACAGACAGCAAAGTCCCACTGTTCACGCGCGTTCCTATCCTGCGTACAGGACCTAAATAATAGAATTCATCATAAGACATCGAGTGGGTAAGGTAACTAGTAGGGTGAAAGTGCTAGACTTTAGGAAGGCTGATTTAAATGAACTCAGGCGATTAGTCAAGGATGCACTGCAGAGTAGGAGTTTTGAAGAGATGGGAGCCCAGGAAGTGTGGCTGTACCTTAAGGAAATGATCCTTCGGGCACAGAGGGAGACGATCCCGATGCGAGGAAAAAGAGGAAAAGGGGCCAGGAGGCTTCCTTGGCTGACCAGAGAAATCCAGGGCAGCCTGCGGACTAAAAAGGGAGCATATAAAAAGTGGAAACAGGGAGAGATTACCAAAGAGGAGTATACCTCCTCTGCTCGCATGTGTAGGGAGGCAGTTAGACAGGCCAAAGCTACCATGGAGCTGAGGATGGCATCCCAAGTAAATGATAACAAAAAATGACCTGCTTGGTGGAAGCTTGGAGGAGGGGTGAATAAGCTGCTCCCTTTGCCTTAGGGGGCCATGCTAGCTGGTATCTGGCCATGCCCCCTCCCCTGCTCTGGCTACAGAGCAGAAGGGTGGGGCTAGCTCTCCTTTCTGGAGCAGAGAGTACAGCCCAGTCCAGGGCTGAAAAGCATACCGGGATGCTAGGGGACTCTGGTTTAACCTAAACCAGGAAGGGTTCAGGGACAGCAGTTGCATAAACTGATTTGACCCAAGTCAGTTAAGTCAGATACAACATCCAACCAGGTTCAGCCTTTTTGAAACTGGTTTATGTGAACTGAACTTATGTTCTGTTGCAGGTTTCAACCAGTTTCTGATCACTTAAACTGGGTTATGTGTACCTTCTGTCCCTAGCCTTTGTGAACAAGTATGTCCAGGTTACAAAAAGTAGATGGGCAGAAATCCATGAGTAACAGGTATGAGGAGGAGGAATTTAAGTTCCAGTAGCTGGGTGCTAGGGATACCAGCCCAGAAAGCAGGAGGGCTGGGCTTCTAGACATCTCTCAGGGGTGGGGTCTTGCTGTCATGGCTGGCCAGTGGGGAGAAGCAGCAGCAGTGGGCACAGTTGGGAGCACCAGCCCATGTGGCACCTGACCTACGTTGATTTGACCCATGGCTTCAAAACCTTGATGACTGCTGGCCTAACTTGTAGTGTGCTAGTTCATACACTGTGCTGGCAATTTAGAGATGCAGGTTCAAACCTTCCTGTAAGGTGGGGCCTATAGCAGGGCATTCACCTAGGAAGGAAAAGACGCATAACCACTCAGCTTTGGGGACTAAAATATGGGAGAAGCCCCCAGCCCTCCTTTCCATGTCTGGCCAGTGCATAGCTCACTACTGCTTGGGACCATCCTACCCCCAACCCTGATTAGGACTGTTGAATGCTATAGTTGCCTGGATATTTACTAATAATATTTAATGCTCACTGGGTTTCAAAATCTTCATGAAAAAAGGAGTGATCTTGAAATGAAAATACCTTGGGAACACATTAAGGACTAGAACAGAGGCCTGCCAAAGTAATACGCAGAGGTGCGCTGATACATCGGTCCATACCATATTGACACTGATAAAAGGAAAATTGACATTATTGGCAGCTGGCTTTTTCTGGCTGATGTGGCTGATAAATTCGCCGATTAAATGCCATGTGCATGCGCCCAGCTGTAACATGAACACAGCCAAGGATGCAGCCCAGCAGTGTGGAGAGCAGCATCTGGCCATTAAGTTTGTGGGGGGGAAGGGATGTGGAAGAAGGAGAGGGTGTGGGGGGCAGATCTAGGCCCCCACAGTGAGGGGAGGGAGTGAGCCAGGGGCAGGGATGGGCACTGTCCAGCTGGCAGGGCTTGTCCAGGGGGCATGGGGAGGGAGGGGGAATAGCTCCTGTTGCTGTGCACATCCCTGAAGGAGGCGTGGGGGGGGTGTCCCCAGATCTGTGCATAGGGCAAGGGTGGATTGCCACTGCAGGCTCTGGGCTTTCCCCAGTGGGGGTTGGGCTGGGGCTGTGTTCAAGGCAGGTGGGTGGTGGCAGCATTAGGGATGGGCTACAGACACCCCAAAATTTGCTGTAGTCCCCCTCCCCAACCCTATGCTCCCTGCACTGCCACCACCCACCCTGATCACAGCCCTGGCCCAACACACAGATCCAGGAAGGCACGTGCCCCTAATGCCTCCTCCAGGGGTGCACGTAGCGAGCCACTCCCTGCCTCCAGGCATCCCTCTGGATAAGCCACTCATGGCTTTGTCCCATGCCCCATCCCATCTCAGCTAGGCAGTGCCTGCTCCTGCCTTAGCCCCAGCTCCACTCCCTCCTTCACCATGGGGGCCTCGATTTGCCTTCCTACACCCCTTCCCTCCCCCCAGCCCCATCCCCCGCATCAGACTTACCATCCGGACGTTGCTCTCCAAGCTGCTGGGGTGCGTATCAGCAATCAGATCAGTATCGGCTGATATGACTTGTTAATAATCGGCCATCGGTATTGGCCTAAAAAATCTTTATTGGTGCACCCCTTGTAACAGGTCCTAGTTCATTAAATCTGTAACACAAAATGGTATCTTGAATGCAAATGACTGTTTTTGTGTTTGGACTTGCTGCAATTTAGATAACATTTCAATGAAAATCAAATGTATACTTTACACTGTATCAATCTCTTTTTTTTTCACTTTAATTATGCAAATCAAGAGGCAGATCTTCAGCTGAAATAGATAGATCTGCATAGCTCTTGGAGTCAGTGGAGCTGTGCCAGCTGAAAATTGGATTTTTTTTTAGTTAAATATTTAGTATCATAAACTAATTGTAAGGGGGGGGGGGGCGGGTTGTTTTGTTTTGTTCCCTTCCTGTTAAGGTTACAGTAATACAGATTCAGCAAACACATATCTGGCATCAGACAGTGAGGACTCACTTCATGGCTACATTATCCACTCAAATGACCATCTTTGGCCTCTCTTTACACATCTGGAGTCTGCTGTTAAAGAGGGAACCATGCAGAACTACCGGGCTTTTGGGAAAAAATCGGAGAATTTATTTCAGGTAACATAGGCTTGGGTGTTTGTTTTATGTTTATGCCACCTGTGCACTAATCAAAGTAATTTTAAGTCCAAAAAATCAGAGCATCCCAAAAACTTGATTGAGAATGTAGAATGAGCATGTCATAATTAACTAGGACTCTTAAAATATGATTTCCTGGTCTTTTTAAACTTAGGCACAAAAAATGGATGTCACTATATAGTTACCCGAAACAATGTCTAATATAGATATACTGCTGCTTTGCTGAAAGTTTGTTACGCAAAATTCTGGTCCTTTGGTTAGATGAAATATTGCGCCATTTATGTAATGTTATTCAGAAAACATCTAACCTTTACTCTGCTTCTGAAGTCAGAATCTGCTTGGATTTGCATATATATTCTTCCCTGATTTTTATCTGTGTTGATAAACCTACTTTGCATTGATTCTAGAATACTTCTGGATTTCTGTGCTTCAGCTCTTCCTCGAAGTGTGCGTTTCATTCCCATCTCATTTATACTATACTAGTCAACTGCCTGTCAAGAATGATGGGTGGGGGGCAGTGGGCAGAGACAGAGCACTATGTCTGTGACTACCCCATTCTGTCCTGCCACTGGTGCCATTCTTTGGGAGGGGGCAGGCAGGGATGGAGCGTGTCCATCCCAAACCCCCTCTTTCTCATTTGGTGCTCATTCCCCTTGCTCCCCCTCCCCACCTGCTGCGCCATGTATGAGCCCATTTTCTCCCCCACCCCTTTGGCCCCCCACTGTTTTAGGTGGGTGGGGGGAGGGGAAGGCCAGCGCCACTGGTCTTGTCCCCCCTGTGCCATTCCTTCCATTGCTGCCACCTCAGGGCTGCTTTGGGGCTGGGCTGGCATTACAGGAAGGCGCACACGGAGACCGAGCCTCATGTCTGGCCCCGACCCCGTTTCTTCTCTGTTTGGGGGGGAATGGGCCCACTCCTCCCACCCGCCCCACCTGCTGCTTCAGGGCCGGTCTGCCCTCTCCACCCTTCTTCTTCACCTCATGGTGGGGGAGCAAGGCCAGCTACTCCCATGTCTCTGTTTTCATAGTGGTGCTCTACTGCACAGTCTCCTGTCCCAGTGCTCTTAGAGCACTCTGATTGGCTGTTTCAGTCAGCCAGTAAGAGTGTGACTAAAGCATTATGGACAGACAGACAGACTAAGGCTTTTATAATATTAGAATTTACTTGCATCAAAGATGAGAGATTTTTTTGCCCCATCAGCTGGCAAGGGGGGGGGGGGGGGGGGGGGGGGAAACCCCTCAGATTGGATTTGAGTACAAGATTATATGGGGAGAGGCAGCATGCAGCTGTTGGGGGCCTAACTCCAGCCCCAAACCTGGATTGGGTCCACAATAGGAACCTCAGCAGCTGCCTACCCTCCAACCTTGTACTTGAATCCAAGATGAGAGCTGTTTTCCCCATGCTGAATATGGCAGGGTGGGGGGTGGAACTTGATTTGGATTCAGTTAAATATGGTAATTAGGATCTTATGTATAACACAGCTTAGCAGGTTGGAAAGAAACTTCAGCTTATGTCCTTGCTTGTTTATACCCTAACCCAAAAGGATGTTTCCCTGACATTTTTCTGCCATATTTTATCTTGCTTTTTATGTATTTGGGATAGGAAGAGTGCTATGACTGGGGCATGAAGAAGCAAAGAGCATGTAGCAGCATGTGTGGTAGAGGCTGGTTGACTGAGTGGAGGATGATGAAGCTTGTTGGCTTGATGGGATTCAGAGCTTCTATTTTTCCTAGGTTTTGAGTAGCTCCCACTGACTTCAGGGCTGGAAAATAGCTAGGACAAAATCTGTCTAAGGCCTTGAAATTGGTTTCACTTTTAGGTGAAATGAACTTTTCACATAAAAATCCACCCTTGTCCCGTGCACAGATCTGGGGAGCTGCCCCTCTCCCTCCCGCTGTGCCCTGTGGACATGCAGTGCTTGCCCCCAACAGACTTACCAGCCAGACACTGCCCTCCAGGCTGCTGGGCTGTACTCCTGGCTGCATGCATGCCATGCCTGCGTGCATGCACACGGCATTTGTCGGTGACATTATCGGCCACATCACCGAATAAAAGCCAATTGCCAGTAATGTCAATTTTCCTTTTATCTGTGCTGATACGATATGGACTGATGTATTGGTGCACCTCTATTTGTAGGGATTCTTCAGCAAGTTAACTTTCATACTGGTAATGGTGTAGCCACAGCCACATGAAATTCAGTCCTGGCTACAAAACCTGCTCAGGAATCTGGATAAAACAAGCAGTTTAGAGCTTTCTTTTTCTTTTTTACCTTAAAATGTCTAAAACTGTGTACAAGTACAACATTATAATCTACTCTAATTGTACTATTAAAAGTCTCCTTGGAGCTTATGGAAACCACTTAAAACATTTATTTTCTTTGTGTAACTTCCAGTTACACACTGCCTGCTAAGAGAAGTCCTGCTGACAAAAAGAAAAAAAAAGATACCTATTTCTTTTTTCAGAGAAATCATTTTGGAAGCCTGGTAGGAAACAAAAAAACAAAATAATGGGAAGGATTTGAAAACAAGCTACAGTAGAAAGACACCTGGCTATCCCAGGCATTATACAATTATGGTTACTAATTTAATATATGAAGGTATATTATTTGTTTTAAAAAGGCTTCTTGTCAGCATCAGAAGGGTTGTCATGTTTTTTCTGTGCTGTGCTGCTGTAGTTTCAAGCAACAGAGCCATTGATCCTCCCTCGTTATAATAAGGGAGGTCTATATGGCACTTCAACTGAATGTGGTGGTCCTTTTGGGGATGTAGCAAAAGGTGCATATAGTCTGGATTTTGGAAAGCACTCAAGGATATGCTTACCATAGCAATGAAGGGATAGAAAGGGCTGGTTGGTGGTGATTGCTGGCTGACATCCTACTGAACTAATCTTTGTAAACTTAGGTCCTGTTAACTATGTATTTACCACAAATAAATACATAAATAAAGCACCTACAGCTTTGGATAGGCATCTATTTAATTTTGACTTCTTTTTTAAGGACTCTTATTACCAGAGTATGGAAGTTAAGCAGCGTTTTATGGCAGCCATGCACAGTATTGCCAAATTGACAGCAAAAGATGTGGCGACAGCTTTTGATCTTTCCCAGTTCAGATCTGCCTGTGATTTAGGAGGTAAGCCTATTGTAGTGTTTTACCAGCATGCCAATGAAAAATAATCATATCACAGTTCCATTTTCTTTATTTACTTAAGTTCTAAAAATATTGATTTCTCTAACTGATAGGTTTTCTAGTGTTATTAGCTTGGCATTGTATTGTACTATTTAATAGACGTGCTAGAATGAAGCTGACTTGGAAGTTGAGTATTTTTTTTAAATAATTTTGAGTACAGCTAATTAGTGTTTTCCAATGGGAAACATTATGTTCCAGTAGTTAAAGGACCAGATAGTTCCATTTTCAACCCTACCACTGGAATCTTATTCTGGAATCTTCACAAAACATTTAGGCTCAGATTTTTTTTCGGAAGTTATCAGTGATTTTACTTATGGTGCAAAATTTTTGAGTGCCAAACTTGATGTTTTGCAGTGGCTTACTTTAAGAAAATACTGAGAAGAAAGCCGCTTTAAAACATCTTGAGTTAGATGCTTAAAATTGTTAATCATCTCTAAAAGTCTTGACCTCTGTAATCTGCAAAATGTTCAATTGATTGCATAAGGAACTTAGAGACATACTTCTGGAAAGCACTGTGGAAATCCTAGATTTAAATGGGACAGATTTCAAATTTCCACTGAATTTTTAAAAGATTTCAGGCTTTCAATGAGTAAAATTACAAATTGAACAAAATAAGATGGCCACCACACTTGCATGGCATTTGTGTTTTGTGTTTATTTTTTTCCCGTAGCTCAGAACTAGGATGTACCAATTCCAGTTCATAAGGGCATCAAATTGGGCACCAGACATTCTCTGGGGCGTATTACCTCAGAGCCCTGTAGATGGCAGCCTAAGAAGGGATGCTGTTCCTATCAATGCCCCAGCACTTTAGAGGTGTAAACACACACACTGCAAGGCTAGAGCTGCTTTTACCAGTGGAGTTCTGCAGTAGAGTTTGGAGACCGTACTCTTTGCATCTTAATGATAGCACTTGTCACATTCCACTTGTCAAATGCCCTTGTAAAAACCATAATAATGCATTCTTTTTTTGTATAGCTCTTTTCATGTGTAGATTGTCAATGGGGCAAGTGCCATTATCTCTATTTCTAAAAAAGGAAAGCAGAGTATTGAGAAGCTAAATGATTTGACTTGTCCAGTTACCCAGTATATCAGTGGTGAAGTAAAAGATAAAACCCAAATCTTATGACAGTGCTGTGTCCCTTAGACTATCACCTGTCCTCTTTCCCCCACAAAATTGTAGTAAAGAACAATATAAACTTTAAACTGTCTGCTAATACAGGGGGGGAATTTTTGTTTGTTTGCGTGGGGGTTTTTTCCTTAATTTGTTTTTAATTTCCACAGGTTGTACTGGAGCTCTGGCTAATGAATTGGTTCAAAAATACCCAAACCTCAAAGTGACTGTGTTTGACCTTCCAGAAGTCATTGCAAATGTCTCTCACTTTCAACCTGTCGGACAGCATACAGCTCCAGTGACATTTACATCCGGTAAGTGCAATTATTGGACTTTGATACTGCCAGTCATAAAGCACTGCAGCATAAGTCACCGTGGCTGACTCCCACAGTAGGGAAGCAGAGCCTACACCTTGGTTCAAGTAAAGATAAACATAAGGCAGAGTCCTCTATGATAAGTGAAAGAAAAAACTAGGCTGTGAGTAGGGAATGTGGATGAACTAAGTAATACTAGTGAGGCATCAATGGGATACTTGACAGGGCACTCCCTAGTTGCAAAATTAACTAGGTGATGACAAGAGTATTCTTAAGTAAATGCCACCTTTCTTCTTGGCTTAGGAGTCCATAAATTATTCATGTTAATGAATCTTTTCTATAACTGAAAATTGGAATATCTTCTATATATTCCATTTCCTTTAGTTTACCTCCACTGAAGTCTTTATTCATGACAACTTGTCCTTGTAACCTTGATTTCATCAATTCTGAGCTTCCCAAAATGTAAGTTGCTATTCTCCTCAATCATTCAGAGAACCATGTCTGTCACCTCCATTGGGTCTACTTTTATTGTAGGATGCAAACTAAGATTGCTTTCTGTCTCTAAAATTGTCCATGGACTTGCTAAACAGAGCAGAAAGTCCATAGCTCATATGCACTGAAACTAAACTGATCCTAAGCTATCTTAACACTTACTATGTACACAGAGTTCTTACTATACACAATTTTTTCCTTGAACAGTTTTTTCAGTGTGCTTTGTAGAATTGTACCTATCAAATACATATTTTTACAGGTGACTTCTTCAAAGATAATCTTCCAGCAGCAGATCTGTACATCCTTTCCCGCATTCTACATGACTGGACTGATGAAAAGATTCACGTGCTGTTAAGCAAAATATCAGCTGCTTGCAAACCAGGTAAGAATTTTTTTTCATATTGTGAGGTTTTTTTAAGGTTATAGGGTATTTAATACCCTGAAATTTTCTTTTAAGAACTTCTATGACTATCGCCAATTACAGATGCTTGAATCTATCAACTTTCTCTTCTCTATCCTAAAACAAGCCTTCATGCATATCATTAATGGCACAACATATTAACAGACAAAGAAATAAAAAGCCTTCAGTGCATGCATTATACAAAGGGTGCACTTGTTTCTGTATAGCTTTATATGTTGATATATAAATATACCTATTTTTGATTGTATCCCTATCCTAGAAATTTTAGTATGGTGCTAAGTGCCTTAGACCATAACTGCAAACACTAAAGGTTGTGAGCGAATGTTTTTGAACAAATGCAGTTACTTATGCTCCTTCAATCAAAACATATGCATAAACTTTTAGAAGACTTGGACCTTTGTGAAATCTTCAGGCAGAGACTGCTCTCCTCTGAATGTACAAAGTGCCTGTTATTCCGGGTGCTAATAAAATTAATCCTCAAGGCACCACTGGAATTTGAACCCAGGGTCTCCTGTTTACTAGATAGGTGCTTTAACCAACTAAGCCACAGCACCTCTTTTATATATAAAACACTATATATAAAAGTACCTCTTTTATATATAAAACACAATATATGAACCTCCCCTGTGTGCTGTAATATCCCATGCATGGCATAAAAGATCTTTAAAAGATGATAAAGAGTACAACCATAAAATGAGCCATGTACAGGCATTTCATTTCTTTTGGGAGAATTGTTGTGCTTCATGTAGGAACCATAAGTGTACAGGCATTTGTCAAATTTTTCCTTTGGGGAAAAATGCCGTCTGCAGAAGAAAGATCTTCCTCTCACTGATAAAGATTTCTCCTATGGTGGAGTTTCTACCACAGGAAAGAATTCCCCTGCCACTAGACTTCTCCCTGGGGAGTTGAGCACCATGGAAATGGTCCCCGTGCCTTCTTGAGACTGATGTCACCTTGTCTGGGGAAGGTGTGGGGAGCAACTACTGCGTGCCACCTCATGGTCCTGGCAGGAGTCAAGCAACAGGGAAAGGTTTCTCTGCCTTCCTCAGACCGGGGTCACCCCAGTTTGGAAAAAATGCAGGGGACGTTACCCTTGCGTGAGATGAGGATTGGGTGGGAGAAGGGATTTGCCCTGCTGTTCTACTCCCTTACCTTACTGTTCTACAGGAGGGTCATGGAGTGGTGGGTGTCCCCTATTTAGGGAAGTGCGGGGAGCTTTCTTCTCAGCTGCACTCTTTCAGGAACGGGAGGAGTAGAGGAGCCACTGTTCCTCATGCCTTTCCCAGACCAGGATCACCCCAGTCTGGGAAAGGTACAAGGAGCAGGGAAGAGAGGGCAGTTGCAGACTGAGCACCTATACTACTTCTCCCAGAAACATTACTTCTACTGGGGGGGGATAGTTCTCCAAAATTTCTACCACTAGAAATGAATGCTTGCTCATGGCCAAACCAGCTAGTATGCTATACTAATTCTGTATCCTAACAGGAAATGTTCAAGCCCCTAGAGAGCTACACTTTCCTGTGAAGTAGGTATTTATTTGGACCATGCAGAATACCTCAAGACAGTCCTGCAAGACCATCTTGGAATAAACTTCTTGGCTCAAAACCAGTCTGACAAATGAATAAGAAATAGGTTGGTTCCTGTAAAAATTAGGCTGGACATCAGGCACAAAATCAGGAGGTAATCTGAAGGGTTTGGCTGAGATAGTGCTCCACAGTCCCCTTTTTCGAACAACAAAATAACAGTCTCTTCTTACCCTGGTAGTTTCTTTAAATGGGAAGAAAATGCCCTCTAAAAGTTTGTATG